ATCCAAAACTCAAAGGTACTTGGACTAAAAAATAATATTCTGTGATTGTTTGAGTGTTTAGATTAGATAAACATATATATGGACATAACATAATTGGGTCATTTTATTCGGAAATGCACTTAGAGACAAAGTTAGTAGCAGGATTTAGCATTAGTATTAATCATATTATAGCAAATAGCTAGACTAAAGAAAATTGGCTTTGGATCCGATGAAAGAATACGTTGCAAATTTTTTAATGCAAAGATCGCTACGGTTCTTTTCCAATTGGATTCTAATGGATTTTGTCCAAAATCACGAAGCACAAAATCCCGATGGTACATTTTCCTACACCCTAAAACCCGAAGTGTCAAAATCCCGAAATTCTGTAATCCCGAAATGTTTAAAATCCCAAAATGCTGCAATCATGAATCCATAATTCATATTACCAAAATGCCATAATCCCGATAAATAAAATCCTGAAAATTTATTAATACAAAAAATTTCATTAATTTGAAGAAAAACATTTCTGCTGCAAGTTTAAAAAAGAATTCACGTTGTGAAATATGTAATAATGGAAATTCACTGTTTTATATCACGGTTCCGTATCGTCATAAACTTACTTTTTTATCTATTTTTTTTTTTTAATTTTTTATTACTTCACTTTTTTTTATTTTTATTTCCTTCTCTTTCATTTTAACTATGGATAAAAATTATAATTGAATTTCTTCTGCAACATATATGCTCAAGTTTTCAAACAGCAACTATCTAATTTCTAACGATTCGATTGATTCGATTCTATTACAAACAGTATTCAAGATATTGCTCAAGAAAAAATTTCCTATTATCGTGAAAAAGCAAAACTAAAAAAATACTGAAAACTCTATTAAAAACTAGACTATGAAATTTGAAGAATTTCGTAATAATGCTGGTTATTTTGTTCCTTTGACTGAACTTAATAACATATCGCAGCTTCAAAAACAAATTGTAGAATTTATCTCTACAATGAAAAACAGATAGATGGCAATGAATATAAAGCAATATCGGTTAAGCAAGCAAGTTGTTGATGCACTTAATAGATACCTTCTTCATCATTCACCTATTTCACATATAATTTGCATGATAAATATCTGTTTTCTGATTTACATGATGTTTTACGCGATCTGCAAGAACAAGGATTTTGGTTCAATCCTCAACAAATCCAAAAAATTTTACAACATCCTAGAGTTAATTCAAATAATCCTGAAAGCCTTTTATATCGTTTAACTATTATACTAGCTATGCGTGGAGTGAACATTATCAAGAAATTTCCTTAAATTCAAATCTTTAGATGTATTAACAATATTTTAATAATTGTACTTTTTCGAATGTTTCTTTTTATATTCAAAATAGGTTATTAAAATTATTTTATATTTTAATAATTAAATATAATAATAATTTTAATGTTATTAAATTAACATATATTATATGATTTATATTATTGGTCAATTATACCGTGAAAATATCAGTAAAAAAGTCTCGGAAATGTGGTATAAAATCGATTAAATCGTTTTTTTTTTTGCTTCATCAAAATCATTATCAATAGAGTCCCATCATAAATAATGTCAAGCAAATTCAAGAACTGCTTTTAATTATTGATTCGTATGCCTTGAGCTAGCTGCCAAAATTCGAAGTTTGATAAAATAATTTGATTGCTTTTCAAAAGGATGGCTTCATCATAAAGTACCTATTAGCTGACATATGCTCCATCTCTTCAAGATCTTGTTTTATTGTTTCATCTTTGCACTTTTTTTTTTAACTTTTTAACGTTTTATTATTTATTATTGTTTTAAAAATAAATCGCGTTTAATCTATTTCGCACATCATATGCAAATAAATTTTATTACTTTATTTCTCAAATGGAAGTTAAGCAATAATTCTTTGAAAGTATTTTCTATCAATTCATCAGTAAAATTAGCAACACAATCGTGATCTTTATTCAATAATTTTGTAGGAAACTGAAGCGCTTTATAATCAACCAATATACCCCTTGACTTTCTTGAACAACTTCATAAAGTTAATCTTTTGTCCACACATATTTTTCATTGCTAACATATTTTCTAAATAAAATTTTTCCAACTTCTTCTCTTAAATAATCGTACCGATATTGAAATGAACAAGGGTTTATGGAATCAAAAGTTTCGGTTCATATTCCCTTCGTCAAACGTGATTCTATATATTAGACGAGTTTCTAGTAAAACTGTCCTTGTAATTCATGATAAAATATTGTAAGCCAAACCTAAAGGTTGGTACACCTATCAAAAGTTATATTTATTGAGTTCCTTACTGTATCACTTTCCAATGTAACATTAGCATCGTCAAACATTACGCTAGATCGATTTCTTATAACATAAACACCTTTTACAATTTGATGGTTATCGAGTTCCACATGCTTTCATTATCATTTGGTAATTGATGATGATTCGATCAATTTTTGTTAAGTAAGAATCCTGCTTCACGTGCAGACGCACGCTCATCGTGTGGCAATATCTTATGTTACCTGAACAAGTATCTTATACATCAATTAGTTATCTTCAACGTTTAATTTCCTGAATAAGATGAAACGAGATGCGATAATAAAATTGTTATATGCTTTTGATTTTCGAGTCGTACGACTTGTACTTGAATTCAAACCAATTCCGATGTACACCTTGATGAAAATTAATGTAATTTCTCAATCATATTCAAAATTAATAAAAAAATAATCTTATATACCCGCTAAGTTACTAATTTATATTTAAAATTTAAATAAGATTAGATTTTAGATTTTAGATTTTATCTAATAGTAATCAAAGGAAAATACAACTTTTCGCCCAAACGGTCGGGTCAGAAACTTAAAATTAATAATTTTTATATCAATAACCGAACTATAAAGCAATTTGCTCACGGATATACAAATATAACTTAACACACTATCGTGAATTAGATACTCTGGGAATAGATATTTTTTACTTTATTTAATTTCATTATATTTTTTTGAAATTTCGGGAATATGAAATTTCGGGTTTTAGAGTGTCGGGATAATGTACCATCGGGATTTTGAGCTTCGGGATTTTGCAGAATCACGTATAAAAAATTAACACATGTACAAGTACTTATCAACCTAGTGAAAAATTATTTGTAACCTTATCGCAATAATTCTATTATATATTCAATAAAGTGAGCATTACATCTTTAATGGAATCTTAAATAAAGACAACAAATATAGTAACGGTTGTTTAATGCTAAAAAATCTCATTCGACCCAAAAAAATTTCGTATCGTATGGTTTTATTAAACATTTAGTTATTCAATTATTTTTGTTACATAAATAAAAAATAAAATCTCGTGAAATTATTATCTTTCTTTTTTTGAATAAAAAATATAATAAAAAAGCAAAGTATAATTTGGAAACTCCCTATATATTTATATGTATCATAAATTATTATATCAGTATGCTTATTTATAATAAATATTATAGATAACATTAATAGTATGTCATAAATTATAATAAAGTTTGTAAATGAAAATTTTATTATTTTATTTTACTTTGTTTTCATTGTCTTTGACTTTCTTATACCAATAAATAGTATTATATATTTTTTTTTCTGTTCATTCACCATGTTCATGCGAGACTTTTCGGTACAGCTAGCTCGTATAATTCAAATGCTTGACACACCTAAAATTCCATGCTCATAATAATAACCAGCCTTATATTGAGCTGATTTCTAAATTTTTACCGACACCATTTGTTCATAACATTCACCTACTTATACTGTGCAACTAACTTTATTGCCGTTTGTTGCCGCCTTTTGATACCAATAAAGGGCCATATCTAAATTTCGTTCTATTCCTTGACCCTTTTCATAAGGTTGCAAGATTATATTGAGCGATATTATATTCCTTCTCCGCTGCTTCTTTATATAATATAAATGCTTTACCTTGACAGGTATCAGTTCCTATTCCATAATTATAACAATATCCAAGTCGATATTTTGCATTCATATGTCCACCGTTAGCTAATTTTTTTTTATATAACTCAAATGACTCAATTTCATTTTTATAAACAACCTTCCCCATTTTGATAGAAAACAACTAAATTATATTGTGCTGTTTCATTACCATTTTCTGCTGCTTTACAATACCAGACAAAAGCCTCTTCCAAATTTTTTTCTGATCCTGCACCAATTTCTTAGAATAAAGCAAGCTTATATTGTGCTTTAGTGTAGCCACTTTCTGCTGCATTTAGGTACCAATAAATTGCTTTCTCTTCATATAATTTTGCGAGATTGTATTGTGCCATTTCATATTCATTTTCCATTGATTTTTGATACCAAAAAAAAGCGTCTTCTAATTCCTTTTAGGTTTCGTTATCTTCATATAATAAAGCAAGGTCATATTGGTATTGTCACCCTCGGGTTTTGACTGCGCAAAAATTGAATTGACAATTTGGGACCTTTAGGACAATACGGATCCCTTGGCAAGGTGAAAGATACAGTATATGTCAAAATGACCATTTTTGACATCAGGGATCAATTAATTGGTAATTCCGTCATCCAAGCCGCAAGTTTAGAGAATGCCGTAGCAAAACCATGGGAAGGAATTTATTATATAAAAGAGCTTCGTTTCGCTCTTGGTTAACTATAGGATTTGAACAACCTTGTAATTAGATAGTTCTTTTTCTCTTGGGCCAATTACAGAGTGCCGGCAGAGGCAGTAATTGGGCATTTATTTGTATTCTTTTATCATTTATAATAAAACTATTTCCTATATTTTATTTAATAAAAACTTTATTATTTTATTCGCTAAAAATCGATCTACGCTATTGTCTATACTAAACTATAAAACTATCTATAAATTACCTCTCTTACGCAAATAGGAGGTAACAGTATCATTATATCGTTTTTCTGCCACTTCTTTATACAGTTCAAATGGCTTTGTTTTATCAATATCAATTTCAATGCCATTAGTATAATAATTTCCAAGCCTTATCTTTGCATTTACATTTCAATTCTCGGCTAATGTTTGATATAATTCGAATGCCTTGATTTCTTCTTCCTCATTTTGATAACATATAGCTAAAATATATTGCGTAGATTCGTTGCCCATTTCCGCCATACTTTTAAACAATTCAATTGCTTTTGATTTATCAATATCAGTTGTGAATTCACTAAAAAAATGGAAACTTAGCATTAATAAATCCAACTTCGACTAATTTATTGTAATATTCAAAATGCTTTAATTTCATTTTTATCAACACCTTTACCATTTTGATAACATATTGCTAACTTAAATTGTGCTAACTTATTGCCATTTTCTGCTGACTTTTGAAACCAATAAGATGTCCTGAATCAATATCTACCATTAATATAATAGTTTCCAAGGTTAAGTTGACCGCATATAGTTGCCTGACAAAATTCCTGGGTTTAGACAGACCGTCGAATGTCGAAAGTGTCAAAACCTTAATAAAATCATATAACTAACCCGTTGAAACCTGCCAAGCTATATTAAACAGTCGAAACTATATTATGGACTTATTAAAAACCTGTCGAAACTAGATGTTTAGACGTTTCGACAAATCCAAAATAGGTTTCGTCAGGCAACTATATGACCGCATATACTTCCATGTTCTACAGTCTTTTTCATCCAAACAAATGCTAAATTTTTATCGACTTAAGTACCAAATCCATCTTTATAACATATACTTGTGCAACAAAATAATTATTTTCTGCTGTTTTTTAAATAGTATAAATGCTTTTAATGCTTCTTCAATATCAAACTTGCTAAAAAATAAAAATCCAAGGAAGAATACATTCTTTGATTCATCTTAATTTTCTTTAAGCCAATTAATAATGTCACTTGCTTGTTGATTAGAAAGTATATTACATTGATTAACAAACTGCCGTGTTTTGTTAAAACTATTACTTGAGTTTGTATTAAAAGTATAATTAATTTATCAATTAGGACATCAATCTTATCTGATGAGTTAAATATTTCCGAGAACAACTTTTCTGCTTGTTTAGTATGGATTGCATTCGTTTTCTTCGGATTCTAAATTTTTACAAGTTTACTAAATCAGAATTATAATTATATATTTTGCTTGTAAATTTTGATAGACAATTTCTGATGGTAATTCTATTTTATCATCTATTCAAATATCTTTTTTCCCCAGAGATTTAACAACTTCTTGTATTTTAGGACGCTCATTTGGATCTTCTTTCCAACTTGCTAACAAAATGGTATATAATAAGTATACATAAATAAATAATTCTATTATTTAAATAAATATTATCTTCATATAGTTTACTATATTCAATTGGAGTTTCTTTTACAATTTTTTCACGTTTTCCTTCTTTAATATCCAAAGTTAAAGTTGCATCATATTTAATATTTTCCAAATGTTTGCAACCGCTTGAAATTTTCCAAAAAAGACTCCAACATCAGATTTTTTATCTAATAAGATAAGATTGACTTTTATTCAAATGATTTGGATCAACATAGGGAACAACTCGTTTGCTAATTTGCTTGGTACTTCATTTATTTTTCTTGATAAGCCAAATTCTGCGAGTTTAATATTATTTTGATGAACGAGTACATTGTTCGCATACTATTAAGGAAAAAATTAATTGTTAGATAAATAAGTTTTTTTTTTTTAAAAAAAAAAAATTATAATCGATTGTTGTGGCCAAGTATCAATGATAAATTTTAGTCGTGAAAATAAAAAGGACGTTTGTTAGCCCCCAAAGTTTGTTAATTATAAACTCACTTGACCGATTTTACTAAAAAAAATTTCTTCAATCCATTGAGTTTGGTGTTCTTAGAAATTCAATAGGAAGACGTTTAAACTTCTATTTTTCGCTAGGAATTTTCGATTAACTGCTGGGTGCAGATCTGTATCAGATTAGAAGAAATTGATGGAATTCTTTTTTAAATTCGGATAGTTCCTTTGAGAAACTTACGAAATGTTTAGTTAAGAACAAAAGTATATATAGGTGGTTTTGAAAATGCCTTAGATGAATTTGTCAAAATAATCATGAATCAAAATCTGCAAATGCAAACCGAGGTTAAATTAACAAAATATAACTGTGAGAAATGCATTGGATGTAAAAAAAAAAGAAAACCCTCTGAAGAAAATAATAAGCTTTGCCGTACTTGTTATAAAACAAAGACGATAACCATTAATCCAAGTGGAAACAAAATTATTGACGATTTTATCAAATATACACATATTCATTTGTTTAAAGATAGTAATAGAATGGAGTTTGTTCGATATGATCAATTCAAAAATATAGAATTTATTGGTGAGGGAGGATTCAGTAAAGTTTATAAAGCTACTTGGATTGATGGTCCAATAAAGGATTGGAATGACGAAGAAAAAAAATATAATCGTTTATCTAATAAAGAAATTGCTCTTAAGAAACTTAACAATTCTAAAAACTTTACTTCTAAGGAGTTAAACGAGGTATATATAAATTTTCCTTTTTTTATTTATCATGATACATATTGAATTAATAATCTTTTTTCAGCTTAAAATAACTTATCAATTAAGAAACTATAGAATTATTTCGTATTATGGAATTACGCAAGATCCTATTACCAAAGAATTTGTGATAATTATGGAATATTTTAATACAGGAGATCTATCCCATTATATAGCTAAAGATTTTTTTGATGTTAGTTGGAATACAAAGTTACATCATTTAAATTATATTGCATTAGGCCTATCAAGAATTCATGATAAGAGCATTATCCACCGTGATTTGCATAGTGGAAATATTTTGATAAATGATAATGATTACTATCGCACTAAAATAGGTGATTTAGGATTAAGTAAATCAGCTACAGAAGCTGAAGTTAATGAAACTTATGGAATTATTCCTTATATGGCTCCAGAGGTTCTTCAAGGGCAAAAATATACCAAAGCATCAGATATTTATAGTTTTGGTATGATTATGTGGGAGTGTATGACAGGTAGAAGACCTTTTTGGGATCGTGCTCATGATACTGTGCTGATTATTGATATTTGTGATGGCTTACGTCCTCCAACAGTTGATATTGTAGCACCTGAAGGTTATATTGAGCTAATGAAAGAATGCTGGGACCCTGATCAAAGTAAAAGGCCAACAGCTAGGAGTATTTATGATAGTATTTTTAGAATTAGTGATCTTGAAAATAAAAATGAAATAGATATTGTAAAATCATCAGAAATTGGACCTATAACAACAACAAACAATCCAGGCGCTATTTATAAGAGTAGATCTTTAAGTTTCATGATAAACTCCGCAGCATCCACAAGAAGTTTACGAAGTCAATCAATTTCATCGGATTTTGGTAATAAAAATTAAATTTATTTACGACCAGTTAAATAACACATTTTGAATATGTTAAAATTTTCATTAACTATTTTTTTCTTTCTTAAAAAAAAAGGTAAACGAAGGTTTGAAAGCGATATATTTGAAAGTAATGCCGGTATGATATATATAATTTCAATTATTAATTTATACTTTTCAAATCAAAAGTCAACATTAATATATTGAATGATTTTATAAATAAAGGCAATAAAAAAATGAAATTATTGGAAGATGAAACTTATATGTCGAAAGAATTGGAATTTGATATTTAATTTGGTAGTATTAGTACAAATGCCTAATATGAAGCAATGAAATGAAAAAACGGTTGGTACACAAATTCTTACTATTCTATTTAATTATTCTTTACCTTGTTGTTTATTATTTCTGAATTATATTGACGAAAAATAGTTGTAAAATATTGTAATTTATTTCTATCGTATACTTATATCTTTGTAAAACGAGTTTAATCTTAATCGAACTAATTGAAAGATATTCCTTTTAATTTACCGGTATTTACAATAATATTTGCTTGGAAAATGCGATAAGCTTCGTTTTTTAAAACATGATAAAGAAAGAATATAATTTTTTTCTATAAAGTATCTGGAGATTACATTAATTGCATGAGACGATCAAGTATTTTTCTCTAATTGAAAAAAGATAAATTGTAAAACAGGTCATAATGTAAATATTCTACGGCACTTGCAAGTTGAAATGCTAAACGAAATTTATCATCCCATTCAAATGTAATAATCCGCTATCAGATTACACCATAACTAACATATATACTTGTTTGATTGGTTGATTGAATAATTTTCAGCAATTGCTTTTTCTAACCAATTGGTGTCGTTGACATTACGTATTTGTTCCTCTGAAATTTCCGACATGGTTAATATGATGCGAGGTAAAATGAAATAAAAATAAATATAAAAATGAATTAGCTATTGCTTATTTCAGATATTTGGCAATACAAAATTTGCCATTTCAACACAATGTTTTTATAAATTTTATTTTTTCCTTTTATGTCAAATGGTTTAATGTGCATAATTATAGATTTACCTTTTTCTTTACTTGAATAAAAGATGTAAACAATGTACAATTAATTGAAATTCCTTTTTGGAGATACTTATTCTTAAGACATATGGCGCCTGACTGTATATGTAAACTGAAACCGTCATACAAACTTTTGACATAAATTGTCATCAAGAAAAATAAGTACCAATAACTATGGCTCATACGTTTATCAATTATTGTTGTAACCAGTTCATATTGGTACACCAAATTTGCAATATTTATATGAAATGTATTCATCACATCAAATAACATTTTACTATAAAATTAGATTTGAAGGTTACGATGTTTTATATAATGTTCCTTTGAAATAAAGATAATTCAAAATTTTATTGATTATTTGCATCCCTTACTATAATATAAGGTTTACCGTTATGACGTCATACGGATTGTTGGTGAATCACGATATGCAAGCAGTATTTATTTCCTCAATTATTTCAATTAATCCCGCATAAATTTTTATCAGCAATAATTTAAATAATTTAGACGTTACATCATTAATATTTAATCACAGAAGTAAAATGATAATATGAGGCTGTACCAATTTAAGAACGTCAAAACAATAATTTTATTATTATTTATTTCCGTATTTAAAGCTAAGCTGATCCTTGCACGTGCAGACCATAAACGTACTGTTATATAAAAGGGATCGTTTTCCCATTTTATCTTTTTTTCAAAACATTTTCGTTTTTTTTTTTTTTTCCTCCGTTTTTTCTTTTATTTTCTCCGTTTTCCCAAAATGTTTAACAAAGGAAAAGCAACATTTGAATTTGCAGTTCCCAGCAATGAGGCAATTGGGGATAAAAGTGTTTATACCCCAATTTTTTCAACGGCTGATGATATGTTTTGGCAACTTGAGTATCAACCGGTATAATTTCTTTTACTTACATTCAAAAATCAAACATATAAAGAAACCAAAAAATGAGTTCATTAACCCATATGTGTTGTTGTTTACTAGAGTGATCCCGAGAATCCAAATTGTTGTTTAATATTTTTGACTGCTGTTCCAAATTCTGAAGAAGCCATTTCAACTCAATTTTGGTGTGATCGAGCTAGTATTTCTGCTTCATTGTTTATTAAAAGCGTACGGTATAGTAAAGCTTATCATATAACTACTGATGATTATTCTTTGAGAAGTAAATCTTGGGGTAAGAAAGGCGAGAAAAATACTAGATTTACGTAAATCTTTACCTCTTTTTTTTTTAAAAAAAAAAATGAAATATTTATATCTTTTATTTGAAATTTAGGAAAAAATTTTAACAAGATAATGGATAATTCGTCAGTCATAATTGGAGTAACATTTGAAAATTCTGTTTTAGAATCAAAAGGATATAATTCTACTATCAATACAAAACCAGAATCTAAAGATATTATAGAAACATGGGGTCGCGAGTTAGATGTTCCAGAAAAAGCCGATGTATTATTTAACGTTAAAGATGGAGTTGTGTACGCGAGTAAATCAATATTATCAAGTCGTTCCGAATATTTCTCGGGTTTTTTAAAAGGTCAATGGGCAGAAATGTCAGATTTACAACAATCACAACAGAGGAAAAAGGCGCCATCTGATACAGATTCATCATCATCATCATCAGATGATAACATTAATAATCCAGTTTATATTGTCATCGATGTTACAGATACTTCTAAAGCCGTATTCTATGAAATGCTGAGATATATTTATACAGATGAAGTACGATTCAACCTTGTATCACCGATTGAACTATTTAAAGTAGCTGACAAATATCTTTTGTCAAATTTACGACAGAAAGCTAGGGTTGAAATTTTCAAAAAATTAAGTACGAAGAATGCAATGCATATTTTATTTAACGAGGCATGGCAATGGAATGATCTTAAATATGATATCATGGATTTCATCGTAGAAAATTTTCAAAAAATACAAGAAACCCCTGAATATAAAAAGTTGTCGGTTGAGAATAAAGGTCATCCTGCGGGAATTGAAATCTTTCAGGAAATAGTAGATAAGTTGTTGAAAAAATCATTAAAATGAAGGGATTATTTGACATTTTGATGTTTATAGGAAATTATAAAAGTGATTTGTTATAAAATAATTTCGAATTAGAATAAATACTCTTTTTTTTTTTAAAAAAAAATTATTTGTACAGTTTTAAAAGATAATGATAAATCAAAGGAATACTTGGATACTTCAATAGATTGTCGATAAGTCTTTAATTTCGCGTCAGAGTAAGGCTTTGTACGTTTGTGATATTAAAAATATTAAAAATCGATGATCAAAATTTATAAGGATACAACGTAGGCTGTTAAAACGTTAGTTCTTTTAACTTCTTCCACTTCACCAATAATATGCTTGACGTGTTTTTTTTTCCTTAAACGCGTCTAAAAAGTATCTTTTCGATGTATTCATTTCAGGAAATGTTCCAAATCGCATCAGAACGGAAAGTACTGAAGTAATGAAAGATCGTAATAAGTATAAAGAACGTAATAAAAATGGATGTATTGCACATGTTTGGTTCGTCAATCAGGATCTAAACGTAATGACAATTTACTGAAAATGAACGGAATTTGTCTATTAATGAAGGTTTTAATACTGGCACGTTTAAAAAAAAATTAATCATTTTTTTTTCTTTTTCTTTTGACAATTATTTCCCAAAATTTATTTTTTTCTTTCTTTCTTTTTATATTTTTTTCCTTTGTGTTGTATACTCGGCGGTCAAGAATCGATATGACAATTAGTCATAACGGAAAAGCAATTTTTGAATTCACGATTCAAAATGAGATAGATGTTGATGATCCTGTATTCTCACCACCTTTTGCAACATCAAATGATACATTTTGGCAATTAAAATTTTATAAGGTATTTTAAAATCAATTTATTTCAATGGAGATTTTATTTTTATTTTATTTTTTTTAAAAAATAAAATAAAATAAAAATAAAAATATAAAAATTAGACAGATCCTGATAATCGTGGAAGTTGCGTGTTATATTTGATCGCGATTCCAAATAACGAGGAAGCATTGACGACGAAAGTTTGGGAGACGCGTAAAAAATTATCGGTCGTGCTATACATTAAATGCAAAGAATATGAAAGGTATAATCCTATCAAGACGGATAAATATACTGTGAGGTCTTATTCTTGGGGTAAATAAAAAAAAACACTCTTTTCATCCTACATTCATCATCAATATCAAGGTTGATTTTGATTCAAAATTTTCGTTAGGTATCAACTTTCCTTTGCATGACTGTCAAAAAGTTAACGTTGGCATCATTTTCTCGGATGTTACAATCGAAAAAAGTCAATTCAATTCGGAAACTATTTCCAATCAAGCTTCAAAGGATTTAATGACAATGTGGATAGATGAATCCAACAATTCCGAGAACGCAGACATTCAATTAAATTTTAAGGATGGGATCATTCATACTTATCAATCGATCCTCAGTAAACGTTCAGAATATTTTCACAAATTATTACAAGAAAAGAATGACAAGAAGAGGAAGTTAGATACAAATAACGATTATATCAACATCGATATTCAAGAATTTACTCGTCAAAACTTCCTTGAGGTGATTCGATACATGTATACTGATAGGATCGAATTTAATAATATCGATATCATCCCAATGGAAATCTTTAAAATAGCCGATTATTATCTTATATCGGATTTAAGGCAAAAGGCAAGAGTAGAAATTTACAAAAGGTTGCATTTTGATAACGTGGTTAAGGTTTTATTCAGTGAAGGTTATAAATGGAAGGACTTAAAAGATGACATGATCAATTATATCGTTTATAATTTTGATAAAATCAAAGATACCCCCGAATATCAATCACTTGCCATAGATAATAGAGATCATCCGGCTGTTATCATACTCATGCAGGAGATTATCTCCACCTTATTTTATAAAAAATCCTTATAGTTTTTAACCTAATTCATTTTTTGTTTTAATAAAATATTATTTTTATGAAAGTCGAAAATTTCAGTTTGATTGGGCTAGGAAAAAAAAAATTTTTTCGAAATTTATTATCAAATCTGATCACGTGAAAATCATGATGATAATATTCATATTTGTATATCTTCCTTGCGACCAAAATCTTCATTTATTATAACTGGAAAAAAGTTAACGATGCCCGGAATTCCAACAAATTTTGAATTTTCACCTCCAAAAACCAAATATTGTTTATTAACATTTCCAACATTACATGTATTACTTGTAACAATTAATCGTCCGAAAAAACTTAACGCGCTTAACCTTCCCGCGCATTTTGAATTAGATAAAGTATTTAATTGGTATAACCGGGAACCAGAGTTATGGGTTGCAATTGTAAAGATCATCCAATTTTTTTTTTTTTGGTTTTTTTTATCTTCATTTTAAAAAAAAGTAATAATAATAATCCTAGATCACTGGGTCTGGAGATAAGGCATTTTGTGTTGGACAAGATTTAAAAGATGAAATCACTTCAAAGAAAGATCAAACGATATCAATTGATGATTTTCCTCCGAGCGGATTTGGTGGATTGAGTAGAAGGGTTGATTGTTTCAAACCTATCATTGCCGCTGTCAATGGTTTTGCGATTGGTGAGAATCTTTTGATTTTTAAAATAAAAAAGATTATGTGTGTCGTGCAAAGAGTATTTACCATAATTCCTTCGAATTGATTGATTTTAAACAGGGGGTGGAATGGAAATGACTTTGGCATGTGATATCGTCGTCGCTGCAAAAGATGTTATATTTTCTTTACCCGAAGTGACAAGAGGTATCATTGCTATCAATGGTGGATTATCCAGATTAGTAAGGTTCATCGGTAAGTTTATATTTACAAAACCGTATTTATTTACGTGGTATATCATTCTCTTATAGATATTGTAATCACGATCGATTTAGGATATCAACGAGCATGTGAGTTGGCTTTTACGGGTCGAATGGTTTCGGCAAAGGAATGCAAAGAACTTGGTCTTGTCAACCAAATCGTTCCATTTTCTAAAGTAATTAACACCAATTTACATTAGTTTGTCCATATAATTCCCAAAGAAACTGACTCCTTTTTCTTAACAGGATGCTGTACCAGCCGCATTGAAGCTTGCGTCAGAGATAATTAAAAATTCTCCTGATGCTATTAAAGTTACAAAACGAGCCATACTTTATTCATTGGAATCTCCTTCTTTAACTGAGGCTGAAAGAAAACTTTTTGATTCTGAAATGACTAAAAATTTATTTATACAATATAATTTTAAAGAAGGCGTTCGCGCTTTTAAAGAGAAAAGGCAACCTAAATGGAAGAATTCAAAATTGTAAATAAAGGATAGCAAGTATCAAGAATTCACGATTGGGTTTTATGTTTTATATATTTTTTTTGTATATATATATATCTTTAAAAAAACGAGCAAAGTATTAGTATTATTTGTTTCTTTTTTTTGAAATTGGGCATCAAAAAATTCATGATTGTAATTAAAAATTAATAAAGTATCTTAAAAATAAAAATATAACTCGTTTTTTAATTTTTTTTTTTTGAAATTGGACATTAAATTCGGTAGAAATTTTCTGCTTGCTTGCTTATAGTTTATTAATCGAATTTTTATTTTTTGCAAAATTTTATCTAACAGTATTATAAAAAAATTATATAATTGAAAACAATAAATAATTTAATTTAATCAAATTAACATAGATTAATCCTAAACTCAATTTCTTGAATTATATTTTGAATACTTGTTTTCCAGCTTAAACCCACTTTTTTAACTAAAATTTCTTTTATAAACGACACGTTTGTCTATACATATACATAAATATATATATAACATTTTACAAGTTAATAAATAAAACGAATCTTTATTTTTAAAAAAAAAATTATATAAAATTATATTACATACCTCATTTTCACAAAATTCTATGAATCCATTTTCGGATTTGATAAATGATAAAAGATCCAAATACAACTCTTCCTCATTCTCTAATTTCTTTTTGAATTCATTTAATTGTTCGTTTAATCGTTCAAGATTTTCTTTTACAGATTTTTTCAAAGTTTGGATTACTTGAACCTAAATCAATAAAGAAATTCATTAACTCCTTGCAATGGTTATTTGACGAATAAATATCTTCTATCAATTACTGACCAATTCTTTATTCCCCGATTTTTTGTTTTTGTTAAGTAATACCTCATGTATAATGTAAATTACAATGATAATATAATTGCAAGCCTATTACCATATAAAAAAAATTTTAGTACCAACCAAAAAGGGAGAAATTTTATACAAATAATTCGGTCATTACCTCCAGAAAAGTTGAAATTTGATTCACGTGTTTCCAAGACATCTCTCGTAGTGAAATTTTAGTAAAATCCTCTGTGCAGAAATCTGAAATAAAACATCACGAAATGTGAATAACTTAAATTGAGACAAATTTATCAATACGTTATAAACTCATTCATACCTTTTAAGATAGAAATGATCCCATCAATAATTTTTGATAATTTCTGAATAGATTCTTTTTGACCCGCCCGAACGTCTTTAATTGTAATGTATATACGACCCAAGCTTGACACTATCTCACCTATATGTCTTTCCTCTAATGTTATCTTAATAAAATCATAAAAGCATAAGTTCAGGAAGTGAAAACACAAAAAAGAAAGGGAAAAAAAAATTCACCAATTCTTTATTCTCTAAATTAACTAAATTCTCTAATTCCTCAATCAATATTATTAAATTATCGGTATTATTATTATTATTAGCAAACAAGGTCTTGAGAATTCGTGGAATGAGAGTGAAAATTTTCAACCAAGCTTTCTGAATGAAATAAAATATGAAACAAATTAGGCTAGGAATGATTCAAAAATATAGCATAATCAAAATAATTACGTTAAGTATAGGTGACACTCTAGTAATTTCCTCGATAGATTTAATGTCTGAAGGATTACAATTAGTCATTACTGTAAAGTCTCTATGGTCACATAGAGTTGCACAAAAAGAATCTAAATAATAAATAAATTACGTTAGAACACGTTGATCATTTCATTCTCACAATTATGTTTTAACTACCATCATGACTAAGATCAATGACCGAGTCCAAATCTCTTTCAAGGTATTCCATTGTAAGCTTAATATCTTTTGAAATGCTCAGAATGTCAAGGCGTATTATTTCTCTGTATAAAAGAACTCTTTGCATAGAACAATCCAACTCCTTACGAAACTTAATAAATTCTTGCACCTATAACAAATAAACTATCAAATAAATTTTGCAAATTAAATATTTTGGCAACAATAAATATCAATACCTTGCTAAAGGTGGCAAGCTTAAACGCCTGAATTATCATTTCGGGTGTCTGAAAATAAAAAATTTACATAAATGAGTTGTATTCTTTTTTTTTATGTATAAAACAATATAGATAAATTATTACCTCCGCATCGTTACTGCGATAAATTTGAAGAGTCTCATAACATGTTCGAATAGCTTCTCCAATAAATGCAAAAGATGACGACCGAGCACAAATGTAATGGCTGTGAAAAATGTTAAAAAAGTACATTAATAACATTACAGTATCGCGCTAATTGTTTCGTAAACATATGAATACCTCATAGAGTCCAGTTGAACATGCTTTATATCCATAGACTTGTACAACTCAAGAGACCTCTGAAAGACTCCTGTTTAGATATAAATTACTGGAGTAAGTTTGCATTCAGTAATCCCTTAAAATAGTGGTTCACATACCAAGAATTTGATATAGCCGAATGAGTAACAATTTGAATTGGTAGTTGTATTTGCTTTTACATGAAGCCATCTCCAACAGAAAAATTGCTTGAAGTATAAAAGAATTCTGGCCTATCAAATAATCATCAAAATAAATAATAATAAGAATTGATTTTATAATTCAATATCAAAAATTTATTTATTTATATTCTTTGAATAAACTCACCTTTTTTGAGATACAAATCAATAAGAAGATGAGATGCCAGGATAACAAATTCGTCGCCATATTGATTTTCAGTGTCTAGTAATTCTACACCTATGATCAATGTATTAAATATGGATCTATACTGGTTTTGTTGATTCAGAAAGTATATGGAATTTACGATAATTTTAATACTTCGTACCATACTGAAGAGCATCATTATATGATCGCCATAACTTATTAACATATAATATTGCATCACTTTCGCTGATATCCGATAATAACCCAAGATATCTTTCCAACTTATTGACATTAATATTCTTATAAACATTTTGAATCCTTGACTACAATAGAAACAAAGATTTAGATAATCTATATAATTCATATATAAAATGGTGATGATCTTTTACTGACCTTAATATCCTCACAAGTGCTATCAATCGAAGTCTTGAACGCTTCGACCATCTTCCTGGAGATTTCTAACGGAACACTTTTCAAATAAGGTTGTAAATCATCAAAACAGCAAGCTTTAGCTCCAAACTTTCGAAAATATTCAATCGCCAAAATGTCTACTTCTTTTGCCGGTTTGCAATCTTTTAACTCCGAAATGACTCGCTTTTCTAATTCAAACTCGGCGAGAAATGGACCTCGTTTTACAACGCCTGAATCTGATCCCTTATCTTGCAGAGAATGGAACAGCTCACGAGCATCATCCAAATTAGTTGTCTTATTCAAACTATAATTCAAGAAATAATTCCAGATTTAGATCTTTAAAAGGATATATGGATATATCTGGCAAATCTTAACTTACTCTTCTCCATTTTCATCCTTCTCACTCGACTTGATGAGATGAAATCGAGATTCCAAATAAGTTAAATATGCTCCCCAATCATCTGAGCTAATTAGAAATAAATGTAAGGACCAACAAAAAAATTCTTTCGTTTACATTAATAAAATATCATAAACTCATCTACCGACTTCGTTTCCGTCAATGTTAACTTGCTTATCTCAATTGCCTTGGACCAATTGCTAGTTTTTAGAAGCAAATCATTCCGAATGTAATTTATCTCGGTATCATGCTTACATATTTGACCAAGGTCGCCTTCCAACATTTCCAGAGCCTCCTTGTTTTTATTTTGCGTCAACAAAATAATCAAGTAAAGGTGGACCTCTGATAAAAAAAAATGTAAATATTAGATCAATTCAAGAAGATAGTAATGAAGGAAAAAAAATGAGATCAATACCTTCAGTCTTTTTCAATCGATCTTCTTGAACTGCTTTGAGCATCATGCGTTCAGCCAATGTCATAAAAATTGATGATTGTCCTACAGAAGCATTTTCTGCCTAGCATACATTTGTCAAACTTAATATTTTTTTACAAATAATGCTAGCAAAGATTCAAGTCTTTAAATTTTACCTGTAATACTAAACTCATAATGCCCCAAAATAAATATTTGTTCACTCCAAATGTCTTGTGCAACTTCAAAGCAGCCTATAGGAGTAATAAAAGTAAATCAATAATAACTAAAAAGTTTAAAAACCCATGATCCTAACGATTTTTGAATCACCTGTTGCTGCCCTTTATAATCACCATTTCGAACCATAGCCATAAACAAATGGTTACCGAATTCTTCGTTATTAGGGTTCTGACGCGTGGCATTCTCATATAATTGAACAATGTCGTCGACTATTATTAAGAAAATGTGAATAATGGAAGAAAAGCCAAATCATTATTTTAAGATACTTGCGTTTCCCCAATGACCGATAAACCAAAGTAAGAGCTTGTAATATAGGTTCGTCTGAGGGTTTGTTTTCTTTTACTTGAGCACATAATTGTAATGCTTCATCGGATTTACCAGTTCTCTCTAGAATTAAACCTTTCAAAGCCTGAATAATAATAACATAACGGTTAAATGCGAAAACACATGAAGGTGAAACATTGCAATTATATACCTTTAATATGAGAGCGTTAGGTTGCTTCTTCAACAATTTGTTACAATGCCATAAAGCAGACTTATAATTTGCACTATCGATTGCCTCTAGAAAAGTCAAAGAATTAAATTAATATTTTTAGCATTTAGGAAATTAAAACCATTCCGAAAAACCAATTTTTTTACGTTTTTTAAAATAAAAAAAAATGAATTTGATTAATTACCATAAATCGGACGAATTTTACGCTCACTAACGTCTGTAATGGAAGACATTTGGATGATGTTTTTAAAAAATCGAAAGAAGATATTGTAAAACTTGATAGTTTTTCTCCAAGATTTGGATTAATTGGTTGGATCAAAAAAAATTTTTTTTATCAAGATCATAATAATGCATTTATGGAAAATGTTGTAGTCATGTGAAAGAAAAATAATCATCATTGCATATAATTAATTATAAATAGTTATATATATTTCAAATATGTCCAGTATAAAATTTCATTTTAAATAAGTTAGTTTTTTTATTTATATAATTTTTTTTCATTTTCACTTCATTTTCGTTTTCTTTTTTTTTTCATATTAAAAAAAAAAAAAAATAAAAAAAGTTAAAAAAAAAAAAAAAGAATAAAAAAAGAAAAAAGAAAAAAGAAAAAAAAATCGATGACCTTTATACAAAATGAATTTGTAAAGGAAGTTAATCTTTGAAGAAAAGGGGGGAATTGGTTTAAATTTTCAAAATAATTAACGAGAAATACCTAAGTTCCTCGATGAGCTAACCAAGTAGGTTCGGTAATTCCAGTTCCCCAAACAGGTTTCATTCTATGTTTAATTTTTCCTCCAGATGAAGCACTTCCAATGGGATTATTATTATACTGATTTTCACCAACAACTTCCAAACTAAAAATCAATTTACTTAATAAAAATCTGATTCTTCCATATTTATCAACTTCGGCAGTTTTATCCTTAAATTTCGAATAAATCTCGCTACCATAAACTTTCTGACCATCAATTTCAAACGCGCTAATGCTTTTAATACCGTTAAAAACATCATTTTTATGATCATAACTTTCACCTACAATATTTACAATAATATCTCTTATGATTCTACTATGTTCCAAATCTACCGGATGAAATCTCCATTCTGCAGTGGAACTAGGCGGAGCTACATCACATATAACACCACCCATATGAAACAATACAACTGGCATTCCTTCACTTTTATATACCACAAATTGTTTCTCCCCAAATCTCTTTAATTGTAAGTGAGCATGTGGTATGATATCAATCAACCGTTTCTCGATTTTTAAATGGCTGTTGAATACGTCTCCAATTCTGGTGTCCATCGTTATCATTGATTCTGAAAGTTTTGTTAATTGAAAAAACTTTGCATCTCGTAATAAATTATGCCGAAAAATGTTTTCCGTCATACCAACTGGTAAGTTTATTGATGAAATAGGAAATATCTCATAACCACGCAAGTATCGTGAAATTACTTCAAATATTACGGGATCCCGGTCAAAAAATATTTCCTTGACTCCATAGACTTTTCCACCCCAAAACATTTCCGTAAACAAGTTTGGAGCGTCCGTTTGTAGACTAGGAATTGTTATTAAAAAGGAGGAAATATAAATTAAAGGTTACGTTTGGACGAGGAGAGAATTTAACAAGAAATCTCTCAACTCACCTCATTTCAGAAAATTCAAAGACTTTACCCCCAATTCTCACCAAATATGTATCAGTCATAGTGAGGGCTTAAATAATATTGATATATGAAAGAAAAGTATAGTAAATAAAGTGTTTGAAAAGCTCGTAGTGCTGATCATATGATATAATATATTAATATACTAACCACATTTGTTATGGCCAAATATATTAAAACGTTAATTATTTGTAAAATTAAGTCACATGATGTTAATTTCGGTCCGTCACGTGGTCAATTGACGATGTTTACGAACGAGCCTTTGTTACAAAAACTAGAAATAGACTAGATCAATGATGGATAATTTACAAGGGAGGGCATCTGGACACTATACTATGTGTCTCTATTGTTGCCTTTAACTAATTCTTCGATTGACGTACTGTATATATATATATATAAATTTTCGATGTTGAATTAAAATGCACTAAAAGCCAAATTTTATTACCAAAATTCTCGGAACCTGATTTTCCTAGCAACCTACCCAACCCAAATATTGAGTTTAAAATCGATCCTTAGACCGTCGGTCTAAAAATCGATCTTAAGATCCAATCTCACAACGGATAGAACGGAACATTAATTTGCCTATTTTAGCGTTGACAAAACATAATATATTAAATGAATACTCACCTGTATACAAACAAATTCTTATGAAAAAAAACAGGAAATGAAAACAAAGTACAACCGTCCCCGAATCTTTTATCGAACAAATTAATATATAGCACTTATAAAACTTTGAAATTAAAAAAGATATTTAATTTTTAAGGTTGGAGTACCACACGTTTAGAAAAATTACAACATTTGTACGTGCATTTATTTAAGTAGCGAGCAAAATTTAAAGATGAGAAACAAACCAATCCTATGTCAGTTACATATGTAGCAAACGACAATGATTTTTTAATAAATAATTTTTTGTAAGAACGAAATATGATTAACTCGAATTAGTCAATTTTCTTCAAATTTCTCTGAAAAGAAAGTAATGTACAAAGATTACATTACACGTAAAAAAAATAATTAATATATTATTTAGGATCAATTATAATTACTTTTACCCGTAGCATAACTAAGATAATTCTTTAATTTCTGAGATATTTTTATGCCAATAAAGAATGGAACGGGATTTTTAAAAACATGCTTTGACCACATTGTAATTTTGCTCTCATAACTTTTTCCTGGTCGAACAATTCTATTTTTCGTTTTGCTTAGAAGATTGACATTTTTTTTTATTTTAGCTTGTACGATAAAGTTATGAAGAGACTCTATTTTGAGTCGTACAAGAAGAAAAGAATATTTGGTTAATTAATTTTTTAGCGTGTTTATAAAATCATCTCTCTAAGGAACTTTGATATATATATATTAATTTTTGATAAACTTGCTTTTGATGAGCGAAATCTATGGAATCGAATTAGGTTCCGGAACATCGATTTTCCTTCTGTCTCCTTGTACAAAATTTCGAAAGTATTATCTCACAACCACATGATTATTAATAAAATTCATTTTAATAAGATTAAAAATCAACATTTAATACATTAATAAATTATTTGCAGAAATATTTATTGTCAATCTTTCATTAAAACAGCAGATATTGTCAGGAAATTAAAATACCATTATTAGTTGAACTGTCAATGGGTAATGTTCTAGACCAAAACGATTATTTTATATATCAAATCTCATTTGATTAGAACTCGGCCAAATTTCTTCTCGATTACGAATTCCTAATGTGTTGTGTAGAATTCCTTCATGTTTCAGTTTTTCAATTTCCTTAAATGAATTATTCCATTTTAGAAATGCGCCATACAACAACTTTTGTTTGTTTATATTAAAAAAAATGTTAATGAAAATGAATTTAATGTATAAAAAGAAATCATCAAGCAAACCGAAAAAATTAAGTTCCTTTAAGCACATTTAATTTATTTGTCCAAACAAATTCGTTCAAGTCGAATTTGTTTTATTAGTTTGAAACGGAGGAAAACTAATTAACGAATGGATTAAGGAAAGGAATAAACTAAAAGATTAAGGGATAAAATAAAACATGATGTAAACAAAATGAATTGGTGGTTTTCATCTGAGAGATACCAGTCCTAAACCAGAATTTATATAAAAGCGCCTGAATTGGTACTTTTAGGCTAGAAAATTTAGGGACGACGCAATTAAATAAATAAATAATCAATAATTTCACTCTTTACATGACAAAATTTAAATCATGACGCTTAAAGCAAGTCCATTATTATTTCCTATACTTTCATCACTCTCATGTTTTTGGCAGAAAATAAGGTTGAACTTGGGGGAGACTCTAATTATAATAGCAATACTTATTGCAATTATACTCATTTGCAAATATATTAAATCGAGAAAAAAGCAAGTTGTAGTAACTTATGGTCCTAACAAAAGTATTCTTTAAAATATGTGAACTCGTCAATTCAATTATTTAATTTTTTTTTGATTATTATTATTTAATTATTCTAAATTAATTTATTAATATAGTATTCGAAATGTTTAAACAAAACCTATCCTAAACAATTTGTACCACTTTAGCTTGTAAATAGTGATGAATTCTAATGTTTCTCCATGAGTTTTTTATATCCTAATTCATCATTATAATAATTTAGCATCATCAAGCAACCTTATATCTTTCCTTATGTAACTTTAATATCCCTTAATAATACGAATAAAGTCTAACGTTGTCATTGGGTTGAATTATATTTGTGTTTTTTACACTAAAATGAGTAATATTTATTATAAATTTAATAATTAATAATCCTTTAAGTTTTACAATAAAAAAATCAAATAAATACAATAATTGCTAGATTATTTGATTTAAAAATGTTATTTTCAATTTCATCTTCGATTCAACGATTCTTGAAAAAAAAAAAAAATTTCTCTCTTTAGGTAAACAATTTATGGATTTCGAATGAGTTGTATGAGAGAATTCTGTCTTGTTTAATTCTTGCTTTAAATTGCCGTTCTAACTGATCATCTTTTGGCATGTTTTCCAATGGGATGAACGTATTTCTTTCCAAATGTTCATTTCGGATTCTTTCCGCATCAATATCAAGATATAGGAAGTACTTCTTATAATCTCTTCTTTTCCTCAATTTTTGTGCCATGGAACTTTCTGGGAGAACAATGATGTCTGGACTCCTTTCGAATTTTTTACGGCAATTTTCGTTTTCTTTATCATTGGCCCCTGCCTCTTTTATTGCCTTTTGCTGTTGTTCTATGCGGATGCGAGCAGTACTTCGTGCCATAAAACGTTGAGATTCTTGGTTTTGTACTTGCGCAATCCCGAGCTCTGACATTTTTGTGTGTATTAGAAAGGACTTTTATTTTATTTATTTTATTTTTGTTTTTGTTTTTTTAGGGTAATTAAAGGTTCGACAAAATTCAAGATAAAATATTATTTTTTTTTCTTTTCTTTTCCTTAAGAGAAATTAAGGAAATTAAGGTTCGAAATTCAAAATTCAAAGTTCAAATTTTTTTTTTTTTTTTTTTTTGCATGGAATTAGTTGAAAGGAAGAAGAAACTGTTTTCGGAGAATTATTTTTATAGATTCGATGTCAAATATTCTATTTTTGACCCTAATTGTTTACAAATAAGGCCATCCTTTGTTAGACTTTACTTAGACGACATTCGATCTTTCCAATTTTGGTTTCATTGTTTTCTAATTTTGATTTAATGTAAAGGAATTAAAAAAAAAAAAAAATATCGAATAAAGAATTAATGAGATAATAATGTTATAAAAAAAGTATCATAATTGTTGTGAGCAGTTGCAATACTTTTTGCTAACTATGGACAGTAATTGTTGTGAAATGATTTTTTCCCAACCAAATAAAAGCCACGATCACGTGATTATAAATTTGAGGGATACAGTTGGCTATGCGCCACCATATGCAAAAATCGACATTGAAATTTAGTTTTGTTATCATTTAGTCTCTGTTTATAAACACACCCTAAAATTTGACGTTCTTTGATGTAATTTGTCGATTTATTTTAAATTATCATCAAGCAGATCTTGAACAATTATATCGACATAATAAACTGTCATAAATTTTGTACAACGCAAGTTGAAAGACATTAGTGATTAAATGCATCAAGTTGCATCTATAAAACATTAGCCAAATTTATTTAATCCATCACATGATCATGTTTTTTTACGGAGAATACATTCCATTTTATTCTTATTATGTTACAAATTTATAAGGAGAAAGCCTTAATAATGAACTGGTTATAACGCTACATGAAAGTTTTATAAATACTTTGACTTCTTTGGAATCTATTTTTATATAACAATAAATTGCTCAACCTATCGTTCATAGTAAGTATGCAAATTTCTGATATCTCAATCAAATGCTTTTTTTTTAATTGACAACAATAATAATACCGGTATTTAACCTGATTTATTATAAAATTAGAATACTCTAACTAAAACTTCATTATAATTATCTTAGGCAAACTGTGATTATCATTTTCCACAATTCATGTTCTTTCTAACAGCTTTATTATATATATCTTGAGAGATCGTCCAGTATTATCTCCATATTTCTGCTGCAATAGAAAGAATTATTCTAAATTCATTCTGTTAAGTCAACTTGTTTATAAAAAAATTAAAAGAAATCATCGCTCAGATCATTCTTTGTCAAACAATACTAAAATGTGAACACACCCGTTAGTTTTTCTTTTTTGGGTTAGTTTATTTTCATCTGATGTCAGAACATCGCGAAATTTTTTAAGCTGAATGGGTCTGACAACTTTATTCTGGTGAAAACTTAGTTATCTACTTTTTTCAATATTAATTAAATTTAAAAAATTTTTGTTAAATACTAAGATCAATTATGCTTGATAATTTTCGCAGATTCTGTTGATACTGAAAAAGGTCTAATGAACTCCAAGTTTATCAAGGCTGGTAGGGTGATATAATTTTTTAAGATGCATTCAATCAATTTGTAAAATTTCTTGAATCAATTACACACATTCGCTTTTCAATGCTTCAGTACGGTATCCATATAAAATTCTTACACGCTCTTTCAACAAAAGTTAATTAATTATTGTGCCAGTTGAACGTTGCGCTATGAAAAATTGAGGCCCAGAATTTGATCTTAAAAGATCTGGACAGATCAAATTCCGGATTTCAATTTATCAAAAATTTGTGCCGAATCATGATCACCAAAAATGCGAATTCATGTGATCTAAAATTGCAGATCTTATCTAAAAATAGTTAAAATAGTTTTCACTAAAATTTTTTTGTTTTAAATAAAACTTAACTTAAATTTCTTTCAACTTTTAGAAGTCATTTCTTTTATAGGAATGTTTGCCTGTTCTACAAATTTCCTTAATATTAAAAAAAAAGGTTTTAAATGTCATTTTTTAACTTATATATTATATTTTATAAAAATTACTTTATAAAGAACTGTATTGAAAACATCCATTTCCTTCTTAAGTAAACTTGTAGAGAAGACAAAAATGCATATAAAATGCAAATTTAAAATCTATGTAATATTTTTACTAAATCTTATTCAAAAATAAAATCAATACTTTTTATCAAAAAATTTATTACCTATTTTTGGAAAAGATCAGCATTTTTAAATCACATGATTTCACATTTTTAGTGGTTACACTAGAAAAATTATCACATATACACATATAATTAGGTTGGGAATTTTAGAGTATATATATAAACTGTATAGCTGAACTGTATTGTACAAAAGTGATTATAACCAACCATATTTTATTATATATTTTTTTGATTTTATATAATTATTGTATAATAAAATATGATTCATTATAATTACTTTCATATAGTACAGTTCAGCTGATCATACCATATAGTTTATCTATCTACCTGAAATTTTATATATACTAGATAAAATTAACATTATATTTATACTGTACTTGTACTAATTTTTATATTAATTATTATAATGTATTAACTATACTAATTGTACTAATCACTATACTAATACTGTACTTTTAACCTTGCGTATAACTGTACTATGATTATATAACTATATGCTACAAATTTTATCCTTATTATACGTTACTAACATAGTGTATTTTTTTGCATTTTTTAAATTTGATGCGATAATGCATCTTAAACTTTATTACAAACAAATAAATAATAAAATTATATACAAGAAGACTATATAAGTAAAAGATACTAACTCTGATTAATAATCAGAATTAAACTAAGTTTTACTGAATACCGTTTGATGACTCCATCAAGTCAAAAATATGATATTAACTTGACAAGATGTAAAATCTTATAAGAAAATGCAATCTAAAATTTTAACTAAATTTTACTACTGCAGAAAATGAGCAATAACTACAGCAATAAATATTCTATATGTCCTTCTATTTTAACTATAAAAATAACAACTGCTTATCAAATCTATAACAAAAAGGGAAATAGATACATATAAAAAATTATAAAAATAAATGACTCTATTAAGTTTTTAGCTAAAATATCATATCAATTTCAGATTACAGCGATCATCTAATACAAAAGCATCCAAATCACTAAATTCTAATAGAAGCTCTTCAAATATATACTTTTAAAGTTAAGAGCTTAATTTTGATAAAGAATAAGATTCATCACCTAATCTAGTTGCATAAGTCCAGAAAATATCATGTGATATTCCGTGATCTTTGTACATTAGAATTTGATGAAAGATTATAAGCCAATCATAAAGAAAGTTACCATTTAGAAATGAAAGGAGGTATCATTATATGAAATTTTTATTCAAAATAGGTTGATCCTAATCACCAGTTGGAATACCCCTTGAAGCTCACTTTTTGTAAGTAATTTGAGAAAAAAAAATGGAAAAAAATATGTCAAAAAAAGTGAAGAAAAAATATTTTAATAAAAAGCAATACAATTTAGATTATTTTAACATTTTATATAAATAGGAATGTAGATAATAAAGAGAAGAATAAATTTGATAAGAAGGGTTTTTGTTTTATTTACAGATCATTTTTCATTTTATCACATATGGGAAGTTTGCTAGGAAAATGGGGTTTTGAGACATTTTTTAAAAAATTGAAATTTTTGATACATATTAATTTATAACTTATAAACTTTAATTGGTTAAAATTTTATATTATATTAGCTTATTTTCAAAAAAAAAATTATAATATTGAAAGTTATTACTTAGTAAATCTAGAAATAGATTTTTGGAAAT